TATATATATATATATATATATATTGGTCAATGAAAAATATTTTTATTCATTACCAAATGTGTAGTTGAATTACATCTCTTGAAGTTCAAACAGAGCCTGTCATGGCTCTGAAAACTCAAGCCAATCTCTCAATATATTCCTTTACATGAATTGGAAATTCCTCATTTAGAAGTTTAGAATATACTATGAACTTCAGTGCACGGAAGAGAGCGTCTGGGTTTCGTGCACGTCTCTGAAAAAGTCTGTTTGGTGGAAATTTTGTAATAAGAAAAATAATGAAAGAATTGTATTTGATTTATTCTCTCTAACTGCTTAGAAAAAGAATGATTACAATCCTCTCAATCTCAATTACAATTGGATTTCCTGATTACAAAAGAGAGGAGAATGATCCGGATTTTCTCCTTTGTTTAATTCTGGGTTCTTCACAGTGGCGATGAGATGTCTCCCTCGAATGCTCGCGTCGAGTTTGTTTCTCGTTGACGATCCGAACATCTTGTTTCACTGTAACGTGATCTTCTCCTCACGATTTGATGTTGTGAAGAACTTGCAAAGCAAGTTTTAGAACTCTGGACGAGTTGATAACTCTGAACGAGTTTAAAACTCTATGAAAGAGTTGATTTAACCAAAAATCGGTTATAAACCAAGGATGAAGAAGGTCCTATTGCCGATCTCCAAAGCTCTCTGTTGTCGAACGTTACTGAAGGATGAACGTCGATCTCCCCCTCGCTACCAAGCCGAAGATCTCCTCTTCACTGCCAAGTCCAAGATAAAAAAGCCCACCCGAAAAGAAGTCTTGAACTCAGTTGAGTTTACTCGTTTTTATAGGGGATTAAGGGGGTGTAACTGCCCCTTAAATCACTCCTAAGTGGGGTGTAACCACCCTCAAATTATGGGAAACAGTTTTGAAACCGTTCAGCTCATGTTGAATGAGTCAAACAATTCCCAAGTTAGCTTTCAGGACCCTAACTCCGCGTCTTAGGATTGGAGATGCGGAATTGGGTACCCGCTGGATGTTGAAAAATACGAGGGTCGCCCGCGTTTTGGAGTCTGAAGGTTGGAAACGCGGGGGTCGCCTGCGTTTCGTTTGTTGAAGCTTGGAAACGCGGGGGTCGCTTACGTTTTGTTTGTTAAAGCTTAGAAACACGGGGGTCACTTGCGTTTTGCTTGTTGAAGCTTGGAAACACGGGGGTCGCCTACATTTCAGGAATTGAAACACGAGGGTGAATTCCGTATTTTAGAAGGAGCTAATGACTTATACCTTCTTCTGTAGAGCGTTGCAAAGACCATTATTCAGTAATCTTCGTCTTGGCTCCTCAAAAATATGAGAGTCGTCAGATAGTAACTCCCGATGTTGATTGTGAAGGCTGTTGATTAGAGCTTTTATCAGTTATTACGAAGGTCGTTAGACTGTAACATTCATCGATCTACATGAAAGTCTTTAAATTATAACCTTTTGGAAGTCGTCAGATTGTAACTTCCATCATTGGTGTTTGATGGGGATTGGCTATCTGTTGTGATTTTTAGACATCCTACAAAGCCTAAGATTCCTTTCCTGCTATATCATGTAGACCGATGCTGAAAATACCATCCTCTTGAGCTTTGCTTTGAATCCAGTCCCTCTCAAGCTCATACTAAACCAAGTTAAAAGACGACTCCAGCTGCATGATTTCCAATTGAAACCAATCCAATCCATTACCTTGTTCCAAACTACCGTTGAGTATTAACAATCAAAACATAAGTGATTGCAGTTTCCTCTTTGATTGATATCAGTGCATAACACACATTGATTTGAGTTGAGGATGCTCATTCTACATAGCATGTCTTGAGTTAGCAACCTTGAGATAGAAGCCAACCACAAGATGAATGAGTGTTTAGGATAGTGCCAACCACCCCAGGTAGTATCTGATATGGCTGACGAAGGAACTTGCTGAATCAACCTCTTGTACATTGCAGAAATGCTAAATTTGTCACCAGAACAGCAGTTGTTTATGAAAGAAAGAAGATTGTCAATATTGCCAAGCTTCACTGCTAACAAATTCCTAACTTTTAGAATTTGTTTCCACATCCAAGAATCACATTCTCTGATCTGAACTTGCCAAATATTATTTTGCCTCAAGTAATTTCCATGTATCCATTTAATCCATAATATGTCCTTCTTATGGTGTATCATCCAAAGCAGTTTAGCAGCAGAAGCATGATTCCAATATTTTGCTAAATAAACTCCTAATCCACCATGTTTGAAATCCTAGAAAATAACAGTCCATGCCACCAAGTGAATTTTGTGTCCCCAAAGGAAATCAGCACACATCTTATCAATCTTCTCTAACAGTCCATGCCACCAAGTGAATTTTGTGTCCCCAAAGGAAATCAGCACACATCTTATCAATCTTCTCTAGCACTTTAGTTGGTAAGATGTAGTTACTTTCCCCAAAGGAAATCAGCACACATCTTATCAATCTTCTCTAGCACTTTAGTTGGTAAGATGTAGTTACTTATCCAAAACATTTGAATCCCTAAAATAACAGATTTGATCAGTTGTAATTTGCATGCATAGGATAAAATTCTATTATTCTGCCAGTTTTGAAATTGAGAGGAGATCCTACTAATAAGAGAGGAACAATCAAGCCAAGATAATCTTTTTGAGATTAGAGGAACACCCAAGTATGTCATAGGTAGGGTCCCTTCAGAGAAATTGAGATATGAGCATATTTGAGATTTTAAAACCTCATCAATGCCACTCAGGTACACTAAGCATTTAGCTGGGTTGGGTTCCAATCCTGAAACTTGACTAAACTCCTTGAGGCATTCATTTAATCTTCAAATAGAATTCATGTCTGCTTTGCCAAAGAGTAGGAGGTCATCTGCAAAAATTAAGTGTGATATTTTCAATCTGTTGCATTTAGGATGAAACTTATAGAGCCTATCTGTAGAACCCCGTATTTTTGGATTATGAAGATATGTGAATTTATTGGTGATAAATAATTTTTATTGTGATAAATGACTTGAGGTCATGGATATACTTGGTAACAAGTTATTAGACATGTATGAGTGTGGTTTCATAGAGTTTCGTGCATTGGTTTTGGCTGAATAACAAAACATGCATGTATCTGGAAATCTATATCTGCTCAGTCGACTAATGAGTCGACTGATGAGTCGACCAATGAGTCGACTGACGGGCTGATTTTGGGTTTTCTTTTAGTTTGTGGGTCTGTTGGGTTTTGTATCGGGTCTAACCTCTCATATATGATATCTCCTACCCGAGAACACCTTCAAAACTCAAAACCCTAGCCCCCATCTCTCCCTCTCAAACCCTAGCTCGTTTTGGTGAATTTTTAGGGAATTTTCGGAGGATTTCAACGAGTTTTGGCGAGGTGCAGCAAAGGGGATCTTTCTCTCTCGGATTCAGGGGTTGTTCTAGCATATCAGAGGCGAGTAACATCTCGCCCAGCTCTCATTCACTATTTGTATAAATTTTCTTTGGTTTTATTTCGAATTTTTTAGCCTAAATCACTATTTGTGTATAAAAATAGACCTTTATAGCATATGATGCTAAAATCGAATATTTTCAGTTTTAAAAGCTCACCAACAAATTTGTAAATTAAGATCCAGATCTGGAAATTTGTTTAAACATGAGTTTTAATATGATTTACTGTTTTTAATATGTTTTTAAACATGTGTAAATATGTTTAGGGTTTTGATGTAAGTAATTACATGTAGATCTTTCGTTTCAGTTTGTTTTATATATGAAATAATCATTTTTATGCTGCTGGAAATGATGAAGAAGAACTTTAGGTTAACATCTTTGCATATAATCAACGAAAACAGAAACTAGAAAATTTTCTGCTCAGTCGACCAATAAGTCAACTCATGAGTCGACTTATGAATCGACTGATGAGTCAACTAATGAGTCGACTGACGGGAAAATTTTTAGTTTTGTGTCTCGTCTGATCGACCAATGAGTCGACCAATCCCAGTCAACTTATGAGTCGACTGATAGGGTGTTTTACAGATTCTTGATCTGTTTGAGTTGCTTTTCGGGGTTGCCTCGATTATCTGACACTAGTTTACAATGTTAGTGCTTTATCTGTACATGTGAGTTGACTTTTGACACAAGTACCGATACGCACACCGAGGCACGTGTGACATGAGTCTATGTGTATCTTTTGAGTATATATATATCATCGACACTTACACTTCGCATAACTTATATTTATTCCTCGTGTTGGACACTCATTCCTTTTAGTCCTCGTGTTGGACACTCATTCCTTTTAGTCCTCGTGTTGGACATTCATTTCATTCAGTACATGCGTTGGACATTGGTTATATTCAGTCCATGCGTTGGACATTGGTTATATTTAGTCCATGTGTTGGACATTTGGTTATAATCAGTCCATGCGTTGGACATTGGTTATATTCAGTCCATGCGTTGGACATTGGTTATATTTAGTCCATGCGTTGGATATTTGGTTATATTCAGTCCATGCGTTGGACATTGGTTATATTCAATCCATGCGTTGAACACTTGTTACTTTCAGTCCATGTGTTGGATGTTTACTTCATGCAGTCCATGTGTTGGACATTTAATCTATATAGTCTATGTATTTGGACACTTAATCGCTTTCGGACATGACATTCATGTGAGTTCGACATGACACTGTTTGGAAGTAGAGATGGGTTTTGTATTCTTTTAATTTATTTGTTCCTATATTAGATTCCGGGTTTGATATTTAGGGATTTACAATTTGAGATAAAAGGTATATACATGAGGATTTTCTTGTTTGGATTATTTCGATCGACGTACCTATGCTCGTGTTGTAATTTCCTAACTACTAAAATCCTCTTATACATAGGTATTTACGAATTTGAGCTACATGATATATACATGAGGGTTTCCTTGTTTGGATTATTTCGCTCGACGTACTTATGCTCACGTATATACATGAGGGTTTCCTTGTTTGGATTATTTCGCTCGACGTACTTATGCTCACGTTGTAATGACCTATATAGGATCCCTTGTTTGGATTATTTCGCTCGACGTACTTATGCTCACGTTGTAATGACCTATATAGGATCAGTGATTTTATATATATATATATTAACTGTATTTTCTGTATACAATGAGCCTTTTCCCTTGGGGTTGGTTGTGATGTTACTCGCTAGCGCTTTGACGCTCGTTATCCCTCCCCCTTTTAGGTAATGAGCCAGGAGCCCGAAGAGTCGCAGGTTGATAGCGTTGCACTTTAGCTCCAGCCGTTTATTATAGTTATATTTTTTTTTGAACTCCACTGTAGAACTTTGTTAGATATTTGAGAGTTTATCCTAGAAGTTGTAAAGGCTGTGTGCCTTGTTCCCTTTTATTCAGATAATTATATTTGAGATTTGTTGAGAAGTTCCCGTTTATTCATTTCAGATATTGACTTGTACTTCAGTATATTGGATGATGAAGTATTTATTTGATTCTCTATAATTTCATCAGTTGACTCTTATATTATCTTTTACTTGCTTTTGTACCTACACCTGTTATTGACTCTACTAGAGAGATAGTAATTGTGATGGTGAAACATGTTATTGCACGGTATGGTGCATGGCAGGTTTGACATTCTTGGTTTCACCTTGGACTGCAGCCTTGAGTGAACTCAGGGGTGTCACACTATCATCCTTGAGAGTATCCAGCTTCCTTGATAGATATTCCGTGCCTATAACAAACAGATATGGAGACATAGGATCTCCTTGCCTCAAACCTCTTGCACCTTGAAAGTATCCATGCAATGTACTATTGATTGACAGGGAGTATTTTGGAGTTGAGATGCATTCCATTATCCAACCAATCATATTTTTAGGAAACCCCAACCCTGTCAACATGCTTCTTAGGAAATGCCAGCTTATTGTGTCAAAAGTTTTTCTCAAGTCTATGTTTAGAATGGCTCTTGGAGAAGTATTCTTTCTGGAATAATGTTTAATGAGATCATGAGCTAGCAATATATTGCTGGAAATAAGTCTCTCTTTCACAAATACATTTTGAGCATCACTTATCAAATAACCAATGATTTTTTGAATCCTACTTACAATGATTTTTGAAATAATTTTGTAAACACAATTACAACAAGCAATTGGTCTAAAATCAGTTGCATTTTGAGGATTGAGCACTTTAGGAATTAGTGTTATAGCTGTTGAATTGAATGCACCCAACATCTTACCAGAATTAAAGAATTCTTCTATAGCTTCATAAAGATCTTATTCAATGATATTCCAGGAGGCTTTAAAGAAATAAGCACTAAAGCCATCTGGACCAGGACTTTTTCCACTAGGCATGGAAAAAACTGCATGTTTAATTTCATCCCTAGTGACAGGTGAACTGAGCATGTTTCTTTGATCTGTCAAGAGCAAAGGGCCATTTGATATTACCTCAGAGTCTAGTGTAGAAGTAGTTATTGAAGTACCCATGAGGTTTTTATAGAAGTCCAGGAATTCAGCAATGATATCTGGCATCTCTGTTAATCTAGATCCAGTCCTATCATACAAAGACATTATTCTATTATGATGCCTTTTATTCTTCATCACAGAATGAAAGAAATGTGAGCTTTTATCTCCATGAATCCCCCAGTTGATGTTTGCCCTCTGCCTGTAAAAAGAGGTTTCACAGTCCAACAGTTTAGCATATTTACTGGTGCATTCTTTCTCTTTTTGAATCAAGGTTGGGTTGAGCAAATCATCATTTAGTTGCACCTGAATATCAGCAAGTTTATTTTTAGCTCTAAGAACTTGTTCACTTATATCCATGAAGGGTATATACATGAGGGTTTCCTTGTTTTGATTATTTCGCTCGACGTACCTATGCTCGTGTTGTAATTTCCTAACTACTAAAATCCTCTTATACATAGGTATTTACGAATTTGAGCTACATGATATATACATGAGGGTTTCCTTGTTTGGATTATTTCGCTCGACGTACTTATGCTCACGTTGTAATGACCTATATAGGATCAGTGATTTTATATATATATATATTAACTGTATTTTCTGTATACAATGAGCCTTTTCCCTTGGGGTTGGTTGTGATGTTACTCGCTAGCGCTTTGACGCTCGTTATCCCTCCCCCTTTTAGGTAATGAGCCAGGAGCCCGAAGAGTCGCAGGTTGATAGCGTTGCACTTTAGCTCCAGCCGTTTATTATAGTTATATTTTTTTTTGAACTCCACTGTAGAACTTTGTTAGATATTTGAGAGTTTATCCTAGAAGTTGTAAAGGCTGTGTGCCTTGTTCCCTTTTATTCAGATAATTATATTTGAGATTTGTTGAGAAGTTCCCGTTTATTCATTTCAGATATTGACTTGTACTTCAGTATATTGGATGATGAAGTATTTATTTGATTCTCTATAATTTCATCAGTTGACTCTTATATTATCTTTTACTTGCTTTTGTACCTACACCTGTTATTGACTCTACTAGAGAGATAGTAATTGTGATGGTGAAACATGTTATTGCACGGTATGGTGCATGGCAGGTTTGACATTCTTGGTTTCACCTTGGACTGCAGCCTTGAGTGAACTCAGGGGTGTCACACTATCATCCTTGAGAGTATCCAGCTTCCTTGATAGATATTCCGTGCCTATAACAAACAGATATGGAGACATAGGATCTCCTTGCCTCAAACCTCTTGCACCTTGAAAGTATCCATGCAATGTACTATTGATTGACAGGGAGTATTTTGGAGTTGAGATGCATTCCATTATCCAACCAATCATATTTTTAGGAAACCCCAACCCTGTCAACATGCTTCTTAGGAAATGCCAGCTTATTGTGTCAAAAGTTTTTCTCAAGTCTATGTTTAGAATGGCTCTTGGAGAAGTATTCTTTCTGGAATAATGTTTAATGAGATCATGAGCTAGCAATATATTGCTGGAAATAAGTCTCTCTTTCACAAATACATTTTGAGCATCACTTATCAAATAACCAATGATTTTTTGAATCCTACTTACAATGATTTTTGAAATAATTTTGTAAACACAATTACAACAAGCAATTGGTCTAAAATCAGTTGCATTTTGAGGATTGAGCACTTTAGGAATTAGTGTTATAGCTGTTGAATTGAATGCACCCAACATCTTACCAGAATTAAAGAATTCTTCTATAGCTTCATAAAGATCTTATTCAATGATATTCCAGGAGGCTTTAAAGAAATAAGCACTAAAGCCATCTGGACCAGGACTTTTTCCACTAGGCATGGAAAAAACTGCATGTTTAATTTCATCCCTAGTGACAGGTGAACTGAGCATGTTTCTTTGATCTGTCAAGAGCAAAGGGCCATTTGATATTACCTCAGAGTCTAGTGTAGAAGTAGTTATTGAAGTACCCATGAGGTTTTTATAGAAGTCCAGGAATTCAGCAATGATATCTGGCATCTCTGTTAATCTAGATCCAGTCCTATCATACAAAGACATTATTCTATTATGATGCCTTTTATTCTTCATCACAGAATGAAAGAAATGTGAGCTTTTATCTCCATGAATCCCCCAGTTGATGTTTGCCCTCTGCCTGTAAAAAGAGGTTTCACAGTCCAACAGTTTAGCATATTTACTGGTGCATTCTTTCTCTTTTTGAATCAAGGTTGGGTTGAGCAAATCATCATTTAGTTGCACCTGAATATCAGCAAGTTTATTTTTAGCTCTAAGAACTTGTTCACTTATATCCATGAAGTGTTTTTTTTAACTCCTTTAGAGATGGCTTGAGGTTTTTGAGCTTGGTATGAAGTATGAACATCTTATAACCATAAACTTCCTATCCCCAAATTGAGCTCACTGTTGGTAGAAAATCAGGATATTTGACCCATATATTATAAAATTTGAAAGGCTTTTTTCCTTCAGCAACATCATCGATCACCAATAGAGAGCAGGAGAGTGATCAGAACAACTTGGCATAAGATAATCTACTTGACTAGTTGTGTACTTCTGAATCCAGTCTTCATTAATTAAACGTCTATCTAATATGGACCATATTCTTGTGTCAACATCTTGTTTATTATTCCAGGTGAAGTAGCATCCTGTTGATCTCAAGTGCATAAATTGACATGAGATGATAAAATCTTGGAAATCCTCAGTTTCAGCTTCAGTAACAGGTATGCCCCCAATCTTTTCCTCACTACTAATAATTGAGTTAAAATCTCCACTAATAAGCCAAGGACAATTAACATTGTGTTTAAATTCCAATAAATCATGCCATAGAGATCTCCTGCTAATTTGTTGATTCAGAGCATATACTATAGTGCAAAGACAGGAAATCTTGCCATCTCTGGACTCTATTAAGCAGGTCAAAAATTGCTCTGATGATTTGATGATATGAACATTGATAATATCATTATCCTATAAAATCCAGATTCTATAATTTACAGCTTCTTGCACATTAGAAATCCATTGCCAATTTCTTGTTATTTTCCTTGAAAAAAGGTGTAGTTTATTTTCAGATAGTTTTGTTTCCAGAAGAAGAAGGAAAGATAGTTTGTACTCTTGAATGAATTGTTTCACTATCTTATGTTTAGAGGATTTATGAAATCCTCTAATATTCCAAATGGCTAAGTGCATTATTTGGTAAATCCTCCTCTATCCACACTAGATGGATCATTTTGTTGCTCCAGGAGTGAAAAGTGAGATGCTTAGAAGGTAAAATCACCTATATCAGAAATATTCTCTCTCCTTGCTAATCTTCCTTATTTACACTTGAAAAACTTGTGGTGTGTATTGTAGGAGATGAAAAACTGTTTAACTGATTTCCAGCATTTTGATGTGGATGTTTTGTGCATTCTGGCCTGGGGAGTTCTGCATCATATCAGTTGATTGATGTTTTTGAGAAGCAGCAGAACCTCTTTCCTGCACACCAACATCTTGTTGTGCATGTTTTTGTGCATCCAATCTAATAGCTAGGAGCCCTGGAAAATCCTGCACATCTGTTGGAACATAAGGGGGACCAGAACCAGAACTCCCTGAATTCTCCCCTCTAACTTCCTGACCATTCTGTTCATTTGATCCAGCAATTCCCTGTCCAGATATCTCTTTTCTAATAGAATCAGCACTGCCTTGTGACTGCACAAGAACATTTCTAGTTTGTCTACTAATTGGAACCCAGACCTTCGTAGTTTTCTTTCTTCTGCATTGTTCAGTATCATGACCAATCATAGTACATGAGGAGCACCACTTTGGCTTAAATTCAAACAACACTGACTGCTTATAGCTTCTTCCATCTGGATCTTGAATATTCAAATAGTCAGGAAGTGGATTTTGCAATGGCAGTTTCACTTCAAGTAAAACTCTGGCATAAGACAATCTTTGTCTAGTTGTTGTAAGTTTATCAGTTGCAATAGGTTTACCTATTAGGCTAGCAACCTTACTATACCAGTTGAGCTCCATAGATTTAATCTCAAATTAGGAAACTGTACCCACATTGGATAATAGAAGTCCTTCAATTTTTCCATATTTGTGTCTATGCTCCAAGGCATTAACATAAGAGGTCTAGAACCAAAAAAACCAAGATCCTGCTTCAAGAACATCTCTCTTGTGTTTGTCTGATTGAAAATCAAACAAAAAAATACCCTGTTTAATTAAAGAAACCTTAGGAATAGAGATATTGCCCCATAGTTTATTTACATAGGATTCAATAGATTTATATTTGACATTCAATCCTATGACATGTCCAATTAGAGCATTCTTCCATAATTCTTCACCTTCCTTCCACTCTTCAGCAGAAAATGAAACTGTATCTGAATTAGATGATGGTACAAAACTAAGAGATAAACCATTGCCTATTTTCCTATTGTCAGCAAAGAGACTGACAAAAGTTTTACTAGAGCCAAGCCCTTTCCCCTTCGTGTTTTCAACATTAACAGAATCTTGAGTTTTTCCAGCTCCATTCTTCTCTGTTTCCAGATTTGAAGTCATATGATTTTTGAATTCCATTTCAGATTGACTAATTGCAGGCTCACTAACCTTTGGATGAGTTTCAGATCTAATCTCAATAGATTCATTCATATCATTCAATGGAACAGTAGAATCGTCTGAAATCAATTTTGAAGATCCTAAATCTAAGCCAAGAGCATTCACAGATTTAGAAGTAAGAATCTGAGACAAAGGAAGATCAGATATCACCTCCATTTCAACCTCATCAGCCCAGGAAGCCCTCGATGAGCTAGCTCCATTACTCTTGGAGAGATGACGAGCTTGGAAACCCTCCCTCAACGGAAGAGAAGAAGAAAGAGATGATTCATACAAGAAATCAGTAGATCTAAGAATTTCATCCATGGACTTTTTCTTCTTCTCACCCTTTGGTCCAGTTGATCCCATAACAGTAGGACTGAGATCTACACTATCTTCTTCATCTTCCTCCAAATTGACATCAATTTGATCCTCTGGAGCTGGCGAGTAAGAGCTAGAAGACCTTAATCTAACGCTTAGGATTTTCCTCCCATTATTCTTCTTCTTCTTCACCATTGAAAACCAGCAGAGGGTGCAAGTTAGTAGGAAATAGATCTCCCGCTATCATGCACCTTCAGACATCCCGCCCTTAGCTATTACTAGAAGACCTTAATCTAACGCTTAGGATTTTCCTCCCATTATTCTTCTTCTTCTTCACCATTGAAAACCAGCAGAGGGTGCAAGTTAGTAGGAAATAGATCTCCCGCTATCATGCACCTTCAGACATCCCGCCCTTAGCTATTATTTGCATGTACCATATTATAAGATATGCTGCTGATATAATTGGAACTGCCTAAAATTTCAAGCTCCAAGGTAGGAAATCAACTTAGGATGAATTGCTTCAACAATTTGATAGTAGAAAATGCAGTAACTTTATTTTCTTGTTGCATTTTCAAAAAATGAATAGAGAATTTGGCACAAGCCTAGATTCATGTGCACATATATATTGACATACCAAATATGTAATAAGTGCGAGTTAATACTAGATGAATAGGATATTTGATTAGGAAATAACAGTGCAGAAATAGATGAAGACTACTCTAAAACAGGCCAATATCGCATGCGCACAAAATTTTTGGTGAATATGAGAGATAAACGTATCCTCTGATCTTAGGAAATTCGATACAACGTGCACATTTACAACTTCAGAACTCAGAAGAATTGATTTCAAAAGCTACAGTGTACTACATTATTTTGTTGCTGAACATCAACGTTCTCCACACCCATATTTGGATGTGAATTCTATAATTGACATTCACAAGAGGTGCTTTGAATAGGTCGAATTTCATAATTGCCACTTTGAACAGTGGGTTTTACAACTATAATTGGTGGAAGAGAAGCCACTAGCAAGCGTTAAATTGGACAGATAAGGAATACAATGATATAGCATTGGATGAGGGGTGTTACTACAGCTGAGTATTAAAAAAACAAAATAAATAAACAAATCATGCAGTTGACCCTTAAATGGTGGGGGTAACTACTATACCTCAAAAGCTTTCTTCAAATACTGCAGCTCCTTGTCAAGATCTTCAATCCCCTGTCTATATGCCTGCGATGGCGAAGACTGGCTTGTAGTGTGGATCTGCAAAGAGCACAAGGGATGTCAAGCCGACACATTTTTCTGAAGGAAAAAGAAAAGGACATCCGCTAATTTACAAAATTACACTAAATTTGCAATTTTTGAATTTTGCACACTATTTATTTTATTTTTTTACCAGTGTAGTTAAAATTTGGCATCTGTACATATTAACACTGTTACGTGAAACTAATAACAAAAATATCCCAGTGGAAACACATTCTCAATACCCAATATCAGTATTAGAAAAACTGCAGTTGATCAAATCTTAAAACCCTAAACCCCTAAAAACACCAGCTTTTCAACGCAAAAAACTTACCCTCACTAAGATCTTATACTGGAGAGGATGAGGAAGCTTGTACCCCGCGAAAAGTACATTCGGATCCCTATGCAGCTGCCTGTATTTCCCAAAAAAAAAAAAAAAACCCAAATCAAAGCCAACAAAAGGGGGGAAACCCAAATTACGACAAAGAAAAGGGGGCAAAATGAAAATTTTACATCCGAAGTATGTTTCCAATAGTATGATCCTCTCGTTCAATGGTGAAGGAGGCGGCGTTGACGATCTTGGTGTCCCTCTCGTACGAGACCCTGCGATTTCGTCCTCGTTGTGAAATTAAACTAAAAGGATTTGGGCGGAAATGAAAATTTGAAAGAGGGAGGGGGTGGAGAGAAAAAACTTTACTTCTTTGTGCCTTCCGGTACGACGAATCGCTCGTATCGATCGGGGGCGTTCATGGCTGCTGCTCTTCGATTCCTTGGTCGGAAAGGGGTTCGACGTTGAAGTTGAAGGAGAGGGGTTTTATCTAGAATTAGAACGCACCCGCATTTTCATTCCCAGTCATAGTGTGGGACCCACGAAAGGTTGGGCTCTTGTTGGGCCGGCAAAGAGCTGTGAGTTATATATTCAGTTTAACGACGCATCAATATGGTATGCCTTTGCGTTACTTTTGAATCGTCAAAATTGTCAGATCGGTATATTTTGTGGATCCTAAGTGACAAAATGGTATAAATTTTTTAACTTTTATCAAATTGGTATATTATGTAGCCTCCGGTGCCATATAGCCCTTAAGTATGGTCGAGGTCATTTTTCCGCTCAGTGCTGATGGGATTTATTACACAAAACCCCCTTATCAAAAACTCATCCCTCCTCCTCCTCCTCCCTCCTCCTCCTCGATCCCTTCACCAGATCCACCACCCCTCCCTCTGCCACCTCAGCCGCCGCGATCTTCTTCGAACTCATCACCAAACCCTTCTCTTTCTATCTCTTTCCTCATAATCCATCTATATTTATTCATATATCTTCCTCATCCTCATCATATCCTTTCAAAGGTAGCCTCTTTCTCTCAACCCACTTCCCTTGACTCCTCCTCCTCCTCCCTCCTCCTCCTCGATCCCTTCACCAGATCCACCACCCCTCCCTCTGCCACCTCAGCCGCCGCGATCTTCTTCGAACTCATCACCAAACCCTTCTCTTTCTATCTCTTTCCTCATAATCCATCTATATTTATTCATATATCTTCCTCATCCTCATCATATCCTTTCAAAGGTAGCCTCTTTCTCTCAACCCACTTCCCTTGACCCAAATAAGACTGATGGGTTTTCTTCAATCTCATAAAATAGCATGAATTTTCTGCAAAATTAAGCATTCAAATCTATACATGGGTTTTGTTGGGTTTGTTGAATGGCATGATTTCTTGCACAGTTTCTGAAAATTCTCAAGAAATTTCAGAAAATAAGAGGGATTTAGGGGGAAAGAAGAAGAAGAAATGTGTGCAAGTCTTTTAACAATTGCAACCCAATTCATGGTGATATCCATCATCATTGCATCCATCATTCTCTTCATTGGCATTGGAGTCTTGGTTCTGTTGCATATCTGCATTGTAGGAAAAGCATTTAGAAGGAGTCTGAACACAATTTCGCAAGGAGATGAGCTTAAGAATGAAGGGAACAATGGTTTGTCCCCTGATGATTTGGAGAAGCTCCCTTGTTATGATTTCGACGGCGAAGAAAAAGATTGTGCAGTTTGCTTGGAGAGCTTTAGAAATGGGGAGAAATGCATGTTACTGCCAATGTGCAGGCATAGTTTTCATGCTCAGTGTGTTGATTATTGGCTCATGAAGACACCGACTTTGGTGGTCATTTGTTGATGGAGGTTGGATTTGAGAGGAGATTGTTGTTGATGATGATCATGATGACATCGATTTGTTGAAGAGGAGGAGGAGGAGGGGGGAGGTTGAAGAGGATGTGGAGGAGGAGGAGGGGGAGGTTGAAGAGGATGTGGAGGAGGAGGAAGAGGATGAGGAGGAGGAGGGAAAGGGGGAGATTGAAGAGGTAGAGGAGGAGGAGGGAGAGGGGGGGTTAGGAGCAGGATGTGTTTTGATGAGAGGGTTTTATGCAATAAATCACGTCAGCACTGGCCGAAAAAATGACCCCGACCAAATTTAAGGGCTATATGGCGTTGGAGGCTACATAATATATCAATTTGACAAAAGTTAAAATTTTTATACCATTCTGTCACCTAGGGTCTACAAAATATAGCAATCTGGCCATTTTTCCCTTTTAAATCTCATGCACTTGAGCAGTGCTAAAATGGCCTTTTGTTAATGCGCCTCAACGTCTACACATGACCAATATGATTCTTTAAAGATAACTTATGATATATATATATATATATATATATGGGAAAAGTGTTCCTAAGGTGACGCCTTAGATAATCATCTAAGGACGCGACCTAAAATCACATGATTGAGCTACATTATGGATTATCTGCTCCGTTAAACTTGATCTACATATTCTAAAACCCTAATACACCAAGTTTGGGGTGAACCCATCGTCGTTTGACCCTCCATCGAGCTATGTGAAAAGTTCTATTCATTTGAAACCGTTACCTAAGGTGACGCCTTAGATAATCATCTAAGGACGCGACCTAAAATCACATGATTGAGCTACATTATGGATTATCTGCTCCGTTAAACTTGATCTACATATTCTAAAACCCTAATACACCAAGTTTGGGGTGAACCCATCGTCGTTTGACCCTCCATCGAGCTATGTGAAAAGTTCTATTCATTTGAAACCGTTAAAATTGATACGAGTGGATAAAAGGTCAAACGACGGTGGACTCACCCCAAACTTAGTGTGTTAGGATTTTAGAATATGTAGATTAAGTTTAACGAAGTGGATCATCCACAATATAGCTTAATCATGTGATTTTATGCCATGTCCTTAGATGATTATCTAAGGTGTCACCCTAGAAACAATTCTCCCTATATATATATATATATATATATATAAAGTGGATCATCCACAATATAGCTTAATCATGTGATTTTATGCCATGTCCTTAGATGATTATCTAAGGTGTCACCTTAGAAACACTTCTCCCTATATATATATATATATATGTATGTATATATATATATA